TCAAAAATACATAACCAGCTTATGAATAGTTTAAATAAACAAAACGGTCACACGTATTTGTTTTAACTATATTTTTAGTATTAATCATACACAAAGTACAAGTAAATTAAACCAAAGAATGCTTTCAATAATGAATTATTTTCATATGAGTTATTCATACTTGTTTCATTCAAAGAACGTTGCCTATCAGAGAAAACAAAAACAACAAATCAATGTGCTGCACCATTGCATTGCATGACCTTTTGACCTTGAACAAGCTGTATTAACACATTCCACTGAAGTACGATAATTCAATAGAACAGTTTTGCTTGACTTTGACAATGACTTTGAGCTGTTTGGAAACTCGGAACATTGTGTAAATATCAATTTTTTAAGGAAAAATAATATTCATTGATTGAAATACATAACCTAATCAAATTGCATTTTGTAAAGTAATATAATTTAATTATAATTGTAATTTTTAATGAAATTTTAAACCACCCTAGTTGTAAACTGTTACAAAAATACATGCAACAATGAAGGGATTTTCTTTGTTTTTGCTCTGCTGAAGGTTAGAATTACTAACATTACAATTATGAACTTATACAAGTGGCTTAATGCCAGGGTCTGGAGAAAAAAATATTGTTGATAATTGTTGGACAACTGTTTTTTCTAGGACACAAACAGGGTGTTTGACAAAACAGATAATGAGTTACAGATTTTTGACTATTTAAAGTAGGGGGAAAAGGTGGAAAAAACGGTGCTTACATTAAAAATGCTTTTTGTGTCCTCCGGAACCTGGCTTTGAAAGACTTCATTCAATACATTATTTCTTATTATTTGGTTTTCAATATTTTAAAATGACTAAATATTTTGCAAACATTATTTGATTGGCTCCTTTTTTTGTGTGCAACGTACATAGCAAGAACAACATGATTTGACGAGCCTAGTAGACTGTAGTGGTGAAAACTAGATCAGCTATGTAATAGGGGCCATTTTAAGTGTATAGTGAATCATGTGGAAAATTATGATGTGGCATGTGTTGTTACACAAATCAAAGAGAGGCTCTTCATTTACAGATTTAGTTAACAATGATATTTGTAGGATACTTTAACAATACATTCCCTTTTTGACTAATCTATTGATCAGGTAGAATTGCCTGCGTTGGTATATTTTAACTATTTTAGTCATTGAATTTTTGTTATGTCATTAACATTTAGAACCAGTAATCATGTACCGTAATCCAAATTCTAAATTTGGAAGTAAAGTATTATTAATCAGAGTAAATTGCAAGTCATATTGTAATCATTCAAAACAAAACAAAATTTAAAAAAAATCTAATATCTTGCAAAATGGTACCATCATTATTTTATAGTACAGTAAATATTGCATCATCATATCCCTAGTCATTGATTGGTTAATATTGGGAGGTATGTAATGGGTGTTTCCTCAATCCAGCTCTCTGATTGGTGGGTGGTACTTGAAGCCACATCATCAAAAATGCATTAACAGTAGTGTATAGTTAGTTGTAGTGTATTGTGGAATACTGTAGTACAGTTAAATACACCACCAGCTGACCAGCTGACTAGCTGTAAGTATGTCCTGGCTTCTTTTGCATTATTTTCCACTTTAATAAAGTAATTGTGCAAGAAATAAATAATAATAATGATGATTAAATATGTTGTTTGGGGTTGAAAGGTCAGGCTGTGGTTAGGGTTGTGTTGGTTGTGATGCATATGTTAAATTTTCTTTCATTTTTATTTCATACAAAAATAAATATGGAATTCAAAGTACTGTAAATCTTGAACAAATGTAAATATAAGTTGTGGGGTATGGTGCTTGTTATGCTGTATGTGAGTGAGTGCGAGTAATGAACCATGATACTTTTTGATTTAATGAAAAAATAGTTGTTGCGAATGCGAAAATGATCAGTGGTGATAGAAAACCTCAATAAAAAATACTGATGACTTGGGTAGTGCACGAGAAGACAGTTGTTGTAACCGTGTTCTTTAACATGCACATCGGACCATCAGATTGAATATCTCAGCTGAAAAATATTGTGCTACTAAAATTTGCATCCCAACCCTCACAGAAGAAACAAAAGGAGAGAGCATTAGATGGAATTGCACTGGGGGTCCAAAGGATCTCACGGTTTTGTGCACGCACAGCGGTTACCGCCAGTTTAGTCGACTGGAATACAGTAAATATTATTAATAATAACAGAACAATAACAGAACTACATATTCTAATTTGTAACATGTTTTAGACAATTTTTTAAGCTTTAGGCCTGGCTATGGTAGTTATTGGATATTGTATCAAATATAGAAAACAAACTTTCACTTTTAGATCAATAAATGTTTTATTAAATTTATAATCAAATTTCAACAACCAAGTTACAGTCGATGGTAAATTTAATAACTTTAAAGAAGAATTGGTCAAACAAACTACGACGAATCAAGGCACTCATGAGAAATTAGTACTGAGGCTAAATCAAATTTTGCCTTGGGTGCCCTTTTATACTTGAAATTTTGGCCTTGATGCCTTTCCATTTGGCCTTGGTGCCTTTACAAATCATGTCATACATATTTTTGCTGATGGTATTTTTAATCTCTTGTTAATCTTGTTTGTTTCATCTTTTTGATGTTTGTAAGCTCAACGTTTTCAGCTGCCTGGCTGCTTTTTGTGCAATTTTATACCATAATAAAAAAAAAAAAAAAAAAATAAATAAATAAATAAGACAAATTTGTTGTGTTGCCCTTGGAAGTCATGGTTAGTCAGTCTGTCATCATGTTTCTTTTTTTTGATTAGGATTCTTTATTGTAGTGTTTATTGTGAATGACTAACATTCATGGTTGATATCTAATTTATTAAAGGTTGAAATTTTACAATATATACATGTTGATGTATTTTGACCTCCTAGAAAAAGGAAAAAAAAAAATTTGACCCTATATTTTTAAGATTTTGGTTGGTCAGTCATGGGCAACCCAATTTTTTTTTACTTATAGAGATTTCTGCAGTAGAAAAATAATAATATTGTTTAAAGTTTCGTTAATTCTTTGTATCCTGTAGTCATATGCCAGTAATCCTACTAAGCTAAGTCTATAGATCCTACAGGTCAAGCTTAAACTGCCAGTAACTGCCAGTAACAGCTTGTGGATTCTCCAACCTTCATAATTACGTAGTAATAATAATAAATTTTTATATTAAATGAAATGTCATTATAAAGCTTTGTGTATTAGTGGCACTAATATGCAGTGAGCCAAATAGGTTTCTACTCTTTCTGTAAAAAATATTCAGAGTACCAAGTAACCTTTGGCATACAGTTACATTAATAAATCATGCAGTTGAAAATACTGTATGTGTGAATACTGATACATCTGCTTAACCATACTGCCATCTTTAAAGTTTTTTTCCCCCTAATGTTCATTTTTAAAAATCATTCTAAAGAAATCCAATTTTAGACCAGAGAGATTATCTAGAAATAGAATATGTTTGAATATTGAATATATTAAAACACATCCTATTAAAAATATTTCTTTATCCCAGTAGCTTCCATTAATTGTGAAAATATTTCATGGTATGGTATAGGAATATGTGAAAATATTAATATTAGGCTATTTTTATTGCAGTAAATTTATGCATTGCATAGCTTTTTGTTTTTTAAATTTCAACTTCGGGAGACTGGGGTGGGGAGGGGAGCAGGTGGGGGACTGGGGAACAAGCTTCTTTTACTATTTAGGGTGAGGCATTCACCTAAAGATAATAACCCCTATGCAAACGATTCAAATGACACTAAGATGAAAAAGCTTGGTCTGTTTAGGCGTGCTCTCAATATACTTCGTACTGATAATGTACAGATTCCCAAGCACGTCACTGGCTGGATGCTATGCTAAGTATGAAATCCTAAACCATTGTTAAGAGGATTGAACGCATAATTGGATTTTAAGTGGAATAGAGATGGTTCCCAAGACATATACCTCTGAATTAATAAAGTGTGCATGATTTTTGATTAAATTCCTCTGCATGCCATTAAGCAAAATTCATAAGCATTCATAATCAATCAAGGCTAGGAGTAATTACTAATATATGTGTGGATTTTAGTAGCCAGAGTTAATTAATTTGCTAAAGTTATCTGGTTTTGCATTGTTTATTTTCCATTAGTGTAGATCACTGCTAATGGAGTTTGTAATTAAGACAGTATTTTTCATTTGTTTTAATGTAAACACTACCATTTAAACAATTCTTGATTAAGTGAACATTTTATCAGTTTACGTATTAATTAGTGCCTTGTGTTGTCCTTTATCTTTGTTGAATTGTTATTGCTTATGTTTTATATTTTTTATGTTATTATATCGATGGTATGTAGTTTGTGAATATACCATTTTGTTGTGTGCCTTTTTTTAATAAAAAAAAAAAGAGGAACTATTTCTGTGTCTACCTTCATCTTTATTCCAGTGTCTAATCAGTATCATATAAACACTATCAATCTCTTGGAATTTGTGTATCCATTAATGTATTTTAATCTTATCTTTTCATCTGTTACGCATTTCCATCCTTTGTAGACTTTGTGTATACACCTTCTAGCTTCTTCCACCTCTTCTTTCAGTGGTCAGACGATCTGGTATTAAAAGTTTGAGTGATTAAGTTGATGGTTTTTAGTTCTTTGTTTATCATTGATGGGCATTTTGTTTTCAGTTTTCTGATGGGTATTTTGTCTTTCCTTTGTGATTCATTGAGACATAATTTTGCTGGAGATTCAGTGGGTGGCCTTTGTAGGTGTCCCGGCCATCTGTTTTTTTTCTCTTTATGGTAGTTGACCATTTATCTTCATTTGTGTTGGTGTATAAATCGGTGTTACGAATAATACGTGGCCATTATTAAGACCTCTGTGAAATGATTCGATCTTATTTCCATCATAGGCTTAGTAAAAAATATTACTTATAGTAATTCTAGTCTCAACTTTTTTAATAATGATGAGAGTGGGGAAACCAATTTACATTTTATATATGAATTGCTTTCAGTGTTAGAGCAAGATGCAGCGATTGCCAGTAGGTGTGAACTCGCTCGTCAAAAGGCTACACAGACACTACCTACCATGTGCATCGCAAGTGCGCAATAGTCACACCGACAGCTACTCTACATTAAGTCCCCAACATGTTGTGAAACCTAAGCCAATTGAGAAGGTTTTAGTTGCCAACAGAGGTAAGAAGGAAGTCATTGTCATGGCGTGGTAAAGAAATTGCATGTGATCTGAAGGGAAGGAAGACGAGTACTGCCCTGGAAACAAAAATCATACACTAAATATAAACCAAAGAAAACATGAATACAGACATTGGCTGGGCTTTTGCAGGAACTACATCTTGCCACGATTGAATGGAGCCGCATAAGTCAATATGAGGCCTTGCATTACTGTGAAGCATACTGTATCATGCTCTGTCCCACACTATCAAATTTTATGTCACAAAAAAAGTTGTACAGCTGTATGCCCATATTTGGGTGTAATATGACATTATCATGCTCGTATATGTGCACATCACACAAATTTATCCCATTGAATTTTATAGACGTGGACATGCATCTTATTGTACAAGTTTTCACATTGAACTGAATCAATACTTCATAAAACTTCATACTCTGTAAGTCCTCACATTACTGTGAACTATGCTACTTTAGATCATAGAGTATAGAATGAAAAGAGTAGAGTACGCTTGTTGTGAGCCATATGCCCTTACACGCAGCTATGAGTGAGAGGATGGCTGCTGCGTTGAGTTTCACTTTTAGTTACCTACTGTAGTAGTGCCTAGCTCAGTCTTAACAACTGAATGCATGAGGTTCACTTTATGACTACAATTGCAACTTCCATCGTTACTAGGGGAGTTACATATTTACAAACAGGTCTGTGTTCTCTTTCCTTTCTAAACTCTTTGGTTAGATGTTTTTGCATTGGCAAGAACCATACTGTGTCAATGTATAATACCATATGCTTGGTCTTACAGGTGAAATTGCTATCCGTGTGTTTCGAGCATGTACAGAACTTGGGATTCGGACGGTAGCGGTATATTCTGAACAGGATAAGCAGCACATGCACCGAGGCAAAGCCGATGAAGCGTATCTAATAGGAAAAGGATTGCCCCCAGTACAGGCCTACCTTGCCATACCTGAAATCATCCGTATATGCCAAGTTAGTAGTATTAAAGTTTAATTTGATTAACTTTCTTTCATTCTAATTACTTTAATTACATTACATTTTTCTGATTGTAAAATATTGTGTATTATTGTTATAAGTAGTCAGTATTTATTGGAATTAGCAGGATACAAATGATTGTTTATGAATCATTGCTTTTAGTAGTTGCCTCCAAATGGTTGTAAAAACTAATTAATGCATAAACACATTTGTCCAACCTTATTGCTGGTAACAACTTGTTTTTGTTTTCCAGGAAAATGGTGTTGATGCAGTACACCCTGGATATGGATTTCTGTCAGAGAGGGCAGACTTTGCTCAGGCGTGTGTGGATGCCGGGATTAAGTTCATCGGGCCGTCACCAAAAGTGGTCCATCAGATGGGTGACAAAGTGGAAGCCAGGGCGATTGCCATAGCTGCAGGTAAATCCAATTAACCAATGTTTTGACCAATGGGAGTACTGGCATTGTTATTGGGAACGCCTTTTGGCTCAGTGGTTCCCATTCTAGTTATTATTGAGCTTGTGGTCAGGACCACACTCTGACCAATCTCGGCCAGCCATGCTAAGATACCCCAACTTGAATTGTGACAGGCTGTCAAGTGGCTGAGGCTATGTTTCAGTCCTAGGTGCAAGAATTTCATGGTATATAAATATATTAAGTAATCCCTTACCTAGAAATGGCTTTTGGGCCTTGTTTGGGGTTATTTTGATTTTTAAAAAAATTATAAAAAAAATTACAATTTAAGATATGTCTATATTGATCCCAATATACCTGTTTAAGTTGTAAACATCCTGGCAATCTACCATACCATTGGCTGTGATGCTGTGGTTGTCTTATCATATCTTAATGAGCTTAAATGATGCTGAAATCAGTTGAGGTTTATAAATGTAAACCACACCTCATAAAGATACGACATATGACATTGATACGCTGGAAGGCTCACTCTCTAAATATGGTAAAAAGAAAATTGATGTGCTTACAAAGTAAACCAAACTGTCAAAGGTCAAAACAATACCACATTGGTTTATGAAATTTGTTTTTTTCTTTTCTTGACAGGGGTTCCTGTTGTCCCTGGAACCGATGGACCAGTATCGACCTTACAAGAGGCAAAAGCTTTCTGTGACCAGCATGGAATGCCCATCATATTCAAAGCGGCTTATGGCGGAGGTGGGCGTGGCATGAGGGTGGTAAAATCTATTGGGGTAAGTATGTCGTCAGTTTTCATCGTCAGTTTTGCCATCATGTATGTTCAAGTCAAGTCAATTTTGTAACTATTCTTAGGTCTGTACCGTGTGAGTGACTGTTGCCTCTTTTTATGTCTATAAATGCCCATTGGCATAAAATATACAAATAATGAATGTTTATTAGTTGGGAACGAATGAAAATACTTTTTCCATTGCGCGAATAAGAAACATTCATTATTTGTTTTATAATGCACCTAAAATAGGCTCTTGTCGTTTGATATTTTATGAAAAAAATCTACCTTTTTTCTGAATGGAGATTCTTGTCATTTTATATTTCATGAAAAAAAATCTGCCCTTTTTCTAAAACAGTCTAGCGTCTCTTTACCCAATCGAAAGATTGTATTAGTTTGAAGTCGTATCTTATCCTAGGCACTGTGCAATGGGTGAAAATGGATGGAAGGAAAATGCACAGATGGAACTAAAAATGCACGGTGGAACTAAATTTTCATGATGAATGACGAACGGGGGTAAATAACCAATGTCACCTGATACAAAATACACCAATCAAATGATAGGGATCCATTTAGGTGTGTTATAACTTATACTTGCGTCTAAAGGACCACTTTTTTTAAAATTTTATAATTTGTTAGTCTTATATAATTTTTCTGTACAAATTCATTGACTCTTTTAAATAGGAATTAGAAGAGAACTTCAATCGAGCCACATCAGAAGCAAAATCAGCATTTGGAGATGGTTCACTGTTTATTGAAAAATTCATAGAACGACCTCGGCATATAGAAGTACAGATTCTAGGTATGGAGAAAAATTGAATGATTGGAAAGCAAGTAAATGAAAATACATAATATGTAGATATTGTATATGTGTGAAGGACAGGGCTAAGAAACAAACAATTATCTAATTAAGTGTTATGAATTATATATATATAAAAGTATAAAAGTGCTTTGCTAGCGGGGAACAACATCTTAAATCAATGTTGTACTGTCTCCTTGGCATTAATAGGCAGTCGGTTTCAAACACATTTTCAAAAAGAAAGCAGATAGTCATATCTGACTGATAACATTACTTCTTGATTAGGTGACAGCTCTGGGAACATTGTCCACCTCTATGAACGAGACTGCTCTGTCCAGCGAAGGCACCAGAAGGTTGTAGAGATCGCACCCGCACCAGAGCTTGATGTCACTTTACGTGACCGCATGACTTCTGACGCTTTACGCCTGGCGCATCATGTTGGCTACGAGAATGCAGGCACTGTAGAGTTTCTAGTAGATGAGCACGGCAAGCATTACTTCATTGAGGTGAATGCCAGATTGCAGGTTGAACACACTGTTACTGAAGAAGTCACAGGGTAAATAAGGGAGAAGCATAAGATTTCTTTTTAATTTACATTTTAGTTCGCCCGCCAATTTGAGTCCATCTTTGGGACCTGAAATTCTTGGGTAGTCTCAGGGTTCAGTCTTCACTTACTGTAGAGTGTTACAGTAGCTTAGTGTTAACAGATTTAATATTGTTATTTGATTCTTGGTAAAAGTGATCTTTAATTATTGGTGTCTGGGAATTAGAGGGCTCTCGAATTGGAGTGTGCACTAAACTTTACAACAGAAACGGTATCCAATTATGTCTTAAGGTCTTGGGTTCGAATCTCAATGAGAGAAATATTTAGTTATTCTTTTCCTAACAAATATAATTTGACGAAGTTAGGAGCTTACATAAAAAAGTGTGATAACAGTAAAAATAATTGATCATTACATGTCCTTAAACAAATGGGGTTACAACACTGGCAGAGAGAATGCCAACACTAGTCTAGTTTACTCATAACTAAATGGACAAAGTAGCATTTTTTTATATATTAAAACTGAGAGACTTATTAAAATCTTTATATTTTTGTTTAGAATTGATCTAGTGCAATCCCAGATTCATGTGGCTGAGGGTCGATCTCTCCCAGAACTCGGCATCACTCAAGAAAATGTGCAAGTACGTGGAAGCGCCATGCAGTGCAGGATCACAACAGAAGATCCAGCTAAAGGATTCCAACCGGACACTGGCAGACTAGAGGTAGGCCAACAAACAATGGTTACCAATGGAAATATTACAAAATGAGGGCTACAAGAGATATGATTAAAACCATTTTTTTCACATAACATTTATTTGAATGTTTAGTACACATTAATATTATTAGTTAGCTAGGGAGTGAAATGCAATAATAATAATAATAATAATATTAATAATAGTAAGACCGTATTTGTATATTGCCTAATAGATGAATGTTCATGGTACACCATGTAATGAGATTGTAAGTTCAACAGCAAGATAAACGAAGATTGTATGAATAGGTTTCTTATGGAGCCGGTGTTCCAAACTAACATTTATCTACGCAACTGACCACAATTTAGCAACAGCATTGCTTGCAGTGTATTCAGTGTTATGAACGTTTTCAATGATTGATTGATTGACGCCTTCTATTAACGATCAACCTTTTGCTGTTCTCTTGGTACAGGTGTACCGAAGCGGTGAAGGTATGGGCATCCGGATTGACAGTGCCTCGGCCTTTGCCGGTGCCATTGTTTCACCACATTACGACTCACTGCTGGTGAAGATCATTGCTCATGCACAAAATCATCATGCTTCCTCGGACAAGATGCAGAGGGCGCTCTCCGAATTCAGAATCAGAGGAGTTAAGGTAACCTTTACAATTGATTGACCATTTGGCTATGGAGACATATTATAATGATAATCTTAACTTTTAATAACTTTTTTTAGATTTATTTCTTTTGCAACCAACAGAAAGTGCACAATCTTATGTCAGGGTGCAGCTTTGTGATTCTGTTTTTCTAGAGATACTTAAATTAAATTAATGCTTTATCAATTATAATAAATCTCACAAAATAATTTTTTTTGGAAGCAATAAAGTTTTTCTGATTTCTGATTTTCTGATTTCATATTTATCATTGGTAATCCTTTTTACAATTGTACAGATATAATGCTCTACATAATCAAAGACTCATTACGAAGCTTAATTAAAAGTTTGACATGTTTTTCTATTGAGAAAAAAAATCCTGCTGTGTTATAGGAGTTGGACCTAAGCCCTGGAATTTGAAAGCAGGAACCTTTACCACCAAATTAAAAATCAAAATTATTGTATAGTTATAGTAGAAAAAGGCTAAAATTTATTATTTTTTTCTCCTTTGTTTTAATTTTTTTAAATAATTTTCTTTGTAGACCAATATTCCATTTTTGAAGAATGTCTTGTCTCATAAAAAATTCCGCTCTGGTCTTGTGGATACTCACTTCATTGATGATAACCCAGAACTCCTGACGGATATCTTTCCAAGTCAGAACCGAGCACAGAAACTCCTGCATTACTTTGGACACTTGAAAATCAACGGGCCATCAACACCTCTAGCAACAGATCTCTTGCCTGCTGATGTCACGCCACCGGTACCAGAAGTACCGTTTGGTAAGTAATCTGTTTTTAAAGAAATATTTGTTTTAAAGAAATATATTGCAATTGTCCAAATATTCACACTGAAACTGGGCACTCAATATGCCTGACTGTAATCAAGCAATACAATTCTATGGAGAACACAACAGATCATTTGTAATGATGATCTGTTAAGACTATAACCGACAATCAGCAGATGGCTTCGCGTCTGTTGCCCACCGGGAGCGGAGTTAGATTTGTGAGTGAGGATCTTGCCACTGTCCTACGACGCGATGAGTTCCCGGCTTAAGAGTAGTTCTGAATTGCAACTTTTTTGCTGCAATTCTTCTTTTTCAAATTTTATTGTATTTTGACCGATTTCACTGATGATTTTGTACATATATATTTTAAAATTTAAATTTTATTTATTGGCCTATTTTACTTGAATATTTTATGCGAATTTAATTTATGTTCTCATTGGCATCGGAGAGCCACTAGACAGTGATTCAGTCCACTTTTTGGCAATCCTGTCCGGCCAACTGAGTTGTTTTTTGCTCTCTGTTTTCTTGTGTTTGTCAATTTTAATGTTTTTTGGACAAAATAAATGGAAACAAAAAAATGAAATGAATTATGACTCCTTGTTTAATTTCATGTATTAATATTTTTACAGTTATGCATTACAGTATTTTATATTATTCTGGTATTTGGTTTGAAGAAACACCTCCATAAATGATACAGATATATGAAAATAATAATAATAATAATATTTTGCAAAATAAATATTGTATATTCCTACTTACAGTGTATAAAATTCTGTGTTTTGAGATTTGAGAATTATTTCAATTCCAGGCCAGCCGGATCCCCCCGGTTTCAGGAACATCCTTCTCAAGGAGGGTCCTGAGGCATTTGCCAAAGCCGTAAGACAACACCAGGGATTACTTCTGATGGATACCACCTTCCGTGATGCTCATCAGTCGCTCCTAGCAACGAGAGTGAGGACGCATGACCTGTTGAACATCTCACCATTTGTGTCGCATAACTTCAATAACTTGTTCAGCATTGAAAACTGGGGAGGTAATTATTATATTTTGATTTAAATATTTGGTTGGTCTTATGGTTATAATCTTTCCTTGCTTTTTGGAAATGAGCATTTTTTCAGTAATTTTAATTTACTCCCTTCTTTTTAGGTTCCTTCTCTACAGCCTTTTATAATCTTTTGTCTATTCTTGTTTTGTGAATATGTTCTTTGTTATTTTGGTGTGTTATTTCGGTACTTACCGTATGGGGATTTGTTTCTGCGTAAGCTATTGAATAATGGTGTGGTTAGCACCAGCTGTGGACTTAGAAGCGACATCCTTTCCCCAGTTCGGCCTTGCAGTACGCATGCCACTACATGTGCTGCTTTGTGCAGATAAGCTGACCTAGGGAATTTAGGGTCATTGAGTGTGACCTCCAGGGGTCGTCACTACAGGTGGATATTTAATTTTTTGGTCATTTTATAGCTAGATGTCTAAAATTAAAATGCTTAATGCCCAAATTTTCTTTCATTTTTTTGATTAATTTTATAATTGATTCTCCATTGTTTTTTTTTTTCAGGAGCAACATTTGACGTTGCCATGCGTTTCTTACATGAGTGCCCATGGGAAAGGTTGCAGTCCATGAGGAGCTTAATTCCTAACATTCCATTCCAAATGTTGCTGCGTGGAGCTAATGCTGTTGGTTACACAAGTTACCCAGATAATGTTGTTTTCGAGTAGGTAGAAATTTTTTAGATCCTTCTTGCTACTTTTGCAATCTCTCTCTCTCTCTCTATTGATACTCCATTTTTCTTCCAAATTCTGTCTTGCTAATTTCATTCTGTACTTTCTTATTTTGTTCCTATATATTTTTTAATCTTGCTTCTACAAGGGTCCCAAGTTTCTCTTAAGTTGTGGGAATCTCCTGGAAATCGGGATGGCCACCGACACACCCGCATTCATTCAAGCATCTCCCTAAAAATGACCTATCTACCTCAATTTCATAACGTTTGCATGTTTTTACTACTTTATCAATTGTCTCATGTAAATCAGTGACGATGGGTTATCACCATGTGTAGAAAAATGGAATTAGATTTGTTAAGAAAGTTTATTTCCTAGAAGTGACTTTTTGCAACTTAGGACCTGCATCTATACTTCCTACTCCCATCTGGATTTTGAAAAATCTGCTCTTGAACTATTGTGGTGATAAGAAATTAATGAATAAATGAATAATCACTCTATTTAATTGATTTTAGGTTTTGTGAATTGGCCCATAAATATGGCATGGATATCTTCCGCATCTTTGATAGTCTGAACTATGTACCGAATATGAAGCTTGGCATGGAAGCTGTTGGACAAGCAGGAGGCGTTGTTCAAGCTGGTATCTCGTACAGTGGTGATGTGTCCGACCCAATGAGGTCAAAATACACCTTGGATTATTATATAGATTTGGCCTCTGAACTTGTTAAAATTGGAACTCACATTCTTTGTATAAAAGTAAGACATTTTGTTATCGAAAATCTCATAATCTGGAGAATATTAATACTATATATACATAGGAGTGATGTTTTGGCCTACCTGATTTGTTATCGTACTGCTAGTAATTTGGGTGGGAATTGAACCCACAACCTCCAGATAACTAGCCTGGTGTCATAACTAGTAGACCACTGAGCTTGCACTTAGTTATAACACCATGCTGGTTAACCGGAGGTCGTGGGTTCAATTCCAACCTGAATCACTTGCATATTTTTTTTACAAGTATTTAGTTATGTACCGATTATTCAGTACGATAACATGTAAGGTAGGGCAAAACATCACTCCTATGATATTTTCATGACGCAAATACACAGTGAATTAAAACAATTTAATTAATGCTTACAAATGAAACTGACTGCTTTCTATTTTCAACTTGTTGATAAGGTATACAAGACAGAATGCTATTAAGATATTGAATATCAATTGACTTGTGATCAGCAGGGGTCCCAAAACTCTCGCAAGTCGCTAGAGTCTCCCGTAAATCGGGAAGGCCTTCTGCACTCCCGCGAACAAGCAAAAATTTCCTGGGAAAAATACCCCACCTCCTGCAAATTCACAATATTTGCATTTGTTTTTACTATTGTATTATATCCTTATAATGGTATGTCAGTACCATTGGATATCACCATCCATAGCAATATATAAATAAATATCCTAAGAAAGCTCATTTGAAGAGATCTCTTGGATGTGGATTCTTCAGACCCCTGGATCTGGAGATTTGCCAAATATATATTTTAATGAATTAATAATAAAGTAAAAAGTGAAATAAAATATAATACAATGAATAACAAGCACATTTTGTTTGATGTTTTTCTTTTTAGGACATGGCAGGATTATTAAAGCCAAAATCAGCCACCTTGCTTATCAAGTCGCTGAGGGATAAATTTCCTGATTTGCCAATACATGTACACAGCCATGACACAGCAGGAGCTGGGGTAGCTGCCATGCTAGCAGCGGCCCAGGCCGGGGCAGATGTTGTTGATGTAGCTGTTGATTCCATGTCAGGCATGACATCCCAGCCGAGCATGGGAGCCATTGTTTCTGCGCTTGAAAACACGGAACTTGATACACGTGAGTACAATTTGATATGGTGGTTTCTAAAGATGTGTTAAACAGAGATGACTGATTTTCAAACATAATTTAAATATACAAAAAACATTAGTTCAAAATAAGCCTTGGAACTTAAAAGAACTTTAGAACTTTTATCTTTGTAATTTATTTAATAAACAACTAGAATTTCCTTAATAATTAATTATAAGCTTTCAGTATATATAGTATATTGTGGCATATGCTTCAAATCTTAATTGATGGTATTTGGGTTCTGAGAAGAACAAGGGACGTTAAAATCCAAACAGTTCTTCTCGGAACCAAATACCGTAAGTTAAGATTTGTATATACCACATGGTGTGCCGAAAGCTTGTAATTAATTATTATTGTCAATTGCAATGCAAATCTTCTAGAATTTAAAAATAGAATTTAAAATGGATTAGATTCCGAATGCTGAAAATGATAAAAGAATTAGTGAAATTGACAAGTCGTATTCATCGTACCAAATTTATTATGTTCAATTGTTCAAATATTTATATTATTTTATTCTGATTTTCTTATGAAGATTAGAGATAATAATGCCTCAAGCAAAAAAAAATACATTTGATGAATATGTCTCAAATTGATTAAGAAATAATGTATTTTATTTATTATTATTATAATATTATTATTTCTCTATAAAATTAGAAATTCCATTGGAAAAGGTGTTTGACTACAGCTCATATTGGGAAGTAGCACGGCAGATGTACGCGCCGTTTGAATGCTGTACGACACTCAAGAGCGGCAATGCCGACATTTACAAGAATGAGATTCCAGGGGGTCAGTACACCAACCTCCAGTTTCAAGCTTTTAGTCTCGGCCTAGGGAGTCAATTCAACGAGGTCAAGAAAGCATATGTAGAAGCAAATCAGTTGCTAGGCGACCTGATCAAGGTACTTGAGATCTGATCTTTAAAAATGCTATTCTCATATAACAGCAAGTAATAATGTTAAATAAATTTTCTATAGCACTCGTATCTATTTCAAAGATGTGTGAGAAAAAAGAATAAAGCAGAAAAATTGTTTTAAATTCTTATGTAGATTTGTACCCTGTTCCTTTATTGTAGTAGATTTATATTTTACTGACATTTTATTTTCCCAAATTATTATTTCGAACAGAAGACACATCTTCTTTTGTACTTTTTTCTTTTGTAATTTGTGCCAAGCGGGACAAGCTTGACTTCTAGGTTGGTCCTCATCTATGCCTTGCGTTTGTGTATGTACAGATAAAATAAATGTTTGATGATTTTTGATTTGATGAAATCTACTGAATAGCATAATAATTTCTCTGTTATTGCCCTCTTCAGGTGACACCCTCATCCAAGGTTGTTGGTGACCTTGCACAGTTCATGGTACAGAACAAGTTGAGTGGTGCTGATGTGGAGGCCAAGGCTGATGAACTCTCCCTCCCCAAGTCTGTAGTAGAGTTCTTGCAAGGCTACTTGGGCCAGCCATATGGAGGCTTCCCAGAACCTTTGAGGTCAAAGGTAAATACAAAACAAACTTTTTTTTGTTTCTAAACTTGGCCATCCCTTATGATCACATGATAATCATTTGCATAATGTGAAAGACATTATGCAAATTATCATAACATTATCATTTGAATAACTCCTCTTTCTTTACACCTATCCAGGTGATAAAAGATTTACCAAGGATTGATGCTAGACCAGGCGAGTCAATGGAGCCTACTGATTTTGACGCATTAAAACAGGAATTAGTTGAGAAACACGGAAGTCGAGTGCGTGATGTGGATGTGATCAGTGCTGCCCTTTATCCAAAGGTTCACAACGATTACATGAACTTCCGCAAAGAGTTTGGACCAGTTGATTGTCTTTCAACAAGACTGTTTCTCACAGGGCCAGACATTGCTGAAGAGTTTGAGGTGAGGTGGCCGTGGAAAATGAAAACATACTTAAATTAGGACTTTAAAATACATACACATTTTAAAATTTCTATTTTATAATGTTTTGGAAACACATTAAACCACAATAACCAAATCAAAAATAAATAGAACATGAAAAATGTGCACATTATACTTGTCCAAAATATAATGTGCTAATTGTTCATGTTCTTTTTATTTTTGATTTCGTTATTCTGGTTTCCTGTGTTTCCGAAATTAAAAATTAGCACATTATACTAATCAAAATAAAAATTTAGTTTGCATTTTGCATAGTGAAGTTAAAAAAAATCACATGAATTATAATCCAAAAATGTATTAGCCAACGTGTAAGAAACAATGCAAGACTAAATATATTTATTAAAAAAAATGAGAAAGGTAACATTTTTGTATTTTATATTCAGATTATTGATATAGAATATAGTTAGATTCACTTATTAATTGTAAGATTACTAAAATCTCTTCTTCTATTATTTCTATTTTAACTTTGAATATATGTCGTTTTTTTAATTCATTTTTTATTCTCTCCACTCTGTTTTTATAGGTTGAAATTGAACGTGGAAAGACCCTCCATGTGAAGTTTTTAGCCCTTGGTGATTTGAACAAAGCAACAGGTGAAAGGGAGGTATTCTTTGAACTAAATGGACAATTAAGATCGGTGATGATAAAAGACAAACAGGCCATGAAGGTCAGTGTTTAATATTCATTTTTAGAAATTCAGTCAGTTATAGCCATGTTCGCATTGGATTGGATTCAAATCAAATTTCAATTTCACTTGTTGTATTATTGACAATAAAATTACTTTGAACTTTGAACTTGATTGGAATAGGATTTATTTGGTGTGATACACACCAAAGATAACTCACAAAAGTCCTGAGACTTGATTTCCAGTTGGATCCTTGTGGTGGTGAATTGGGCAATACACCAAGAGACAATCCCCTACTCTTTTCCGAAGAGTGTACTGCGTTCTTTAACATGCACATGGGCCATTTTGCACGCAGGATTAACGACTTAAACGTCAAATCCAAAAGACTGCACTTTTGAAACTTGCATTTCAGCCCTCACATGATGGGAAATGAACCAGGGACCACGGTATCTCCACGGTTCAGCGCACACATAGTGGCTACCACCAGTTTAACCAATTGAGCTAACTGGTCTCAACCAAATTGTATCTCCTTTCATACTCGGAATTAATATGTAGTAGGTTGGCAGTGGGTTGTAAGAAACTGTAGTGTAGGCCATGGAATGTTAAAAACCCAACATTGAGACCCTAAAAATGACCTCAAGGCTATGTACAGTATATCTCCAGTTCAGTGGCAGATTCAGGAATTTGAGATAGAGGAAGCCCGGGGAGGGACTTTTACAGACCACTTCAACCCTACCATGGTTAGGGCTGAGATAAGAAGATTTTTAATTTAGGGGGAGAGTAGACCCAGGTCGGCTGGACCCCTTGAATCTGCCAATATGTATCTTCAGTATTATGATTACGTGATTGCTCTCACTCTTGTAATTTAAAAAAAAAAAAACAATTCTCTTTTACAGGAAATGCATGTGCACCCTAAAGTTCAGGCTGGAGTGAAGGGGTCAGTGGGGGCACCAATGCCAGGAGAGGTAATTGACGTTCGAGTGAAGGTTGGTGACACTGTGGAGAAGGGTCAACCATTGGTTGTACTCAGTGCAATGAAAATGGAGATGGTTATAAACGCACCAATATCTGGAAAAATCAAAGGTTTATCCGTTAATGTTGGATCTCCGGTTGAAGGTGATGACCTGTTGGTTGATATTGAAGAATAAATATATAAGAATTTGATTTAAAAAAACAAGAACAAAACAAAACTAGGAAAAACTAATAAGTTTGTATTTTATTTGTGTTTCTGAAACAAAAACCAGTCCCATACTGTTAATCTTTTATAAGTGTTTATATTATGTTTTAATTTTTTTAAACAAATTAGTTAATAAAACATTTTTGTTTTTGAAGTATTTATTCATTCTTTATGTTCATCAAGATTTGGGGAATATCCATAATGCCCTCAGATACATTTTTATTTATATTTATTCATTCCTCTTTCCTCTTGATTTGGTGAATATAAAAAAAAAACATATAAACTCATTCATTTAAACATTAAAATAAATATCTCGATGTGCTATATTTATAGTAGTGTAATTTAAAATTAATGTTGGTAGTGCAGTATTAGGACATATGCAGTATTAGGACATAATATGCAAATTAGGGGTTTGAGTGAGACAAAGTTGTAATGTGTGTCATACCAGTGCTAGATACGATGCATGCTTTAATAATTTGACTGCCAGTTAAATACGAAATGAAATTAAAGTGCACCACCTGGTGAATGAAAGGCATAACTTTGGCTAAAACATGTTAGCAATATTAGAAAATGACATTAATAATACAGTATAATAATTTTCTTTTTAATAATTATGCATAATAATTATTTGCTTGATTAGCATGATAATCACTACTTTTTAGATACTGCCGTTTATTGGTGCATTAAAAAATAAATAATGGAATCTATTAATTAAACTGTTCAAATCATTATGATTGAGTCTCTAGAATAAAGGTATCCAGTGATTTGTTGGAGTATGTCGGACAAAATGTGATGCCAGTATATTTCTCAATTTTAGTGTTTTTTTCATAATAATTATGTGCTTCATTATAATTCATTGCCATCACTTAATACTAAAGAGGATACTGCCATATGTTGGTGCATTACAAATATATTATATTTAAAAAAAATGAATTAAGCTTTTGTGTGGCGATTGTTCTCGACTATGTTCTTGTATCTTGAATTTAGGGTTGTTGATGAAATAAGCATGTTACCCTTATTAAAATTTAATTATGTTAGACTAGTCATAAAATGCAATGCCTTTTTTGTTTGCTTTATTACAGTTCCACAGTAAACATGAATTTTTTTTTGATATATAAGGAATTAATGACATTTATATGACTCTCTCTTTAGGAAATTCTCATTTGGTTTTGTATATAGTTTAATTATTTTCTTACAAGCTTCATTTATATGACAAATCATTTTTCATTAATATGGTAGACAAGTTTTTGTATTCTGTTATATTTATTTGGAGTATCTGTGGGTTAATGAAAAGGGTTCCAATGCTATGGCCTAAAGCTATAGCTTGTTAGTTAAAATGTTTACCTTTTCCAAAACCCTTGGACCAGTTACTGTCAGGCCATGAGTTTTTGTTTTACCTGAATAAAAACAACACTCCCAACAACACCCCTTGTAGGGGACTTAAGACCCTGCATATCTGGACAGGATGATTTCATACCACACTCATATATGGGCAACATGATGTCATATGACAACCAAATTTAGGCAAATCACATAAATCTTAGTAGAACAGTATGGACAGAGTTTAAGCTCAATGAACTCATTTATCAAATGTTTATTTTATGTAGATATACTTTTTAGGAAAGAACCTTTTAGTATTTTTATCACAACTTTTAGGAGCAGGGCAATATATATAAATTTTGCAACTTTTCAAATTGTATTCAGCATTTGTAGTATTACTTTCGTCCTACTTTGAACAAAAAGATATTAAAGAAAATTGAAGGGCGAAGACATTAAAGTCCAGTATGTACAACCAATACAGTACCAGTTCTTGAGTATGTGTAAGAAATATGGTGTAAGTGAGAATTTGTGGTGCAGTGGTAAAACTGGGCTTCCAATTGAAAGTCCTAGGTTCGAATCTGTGGCTGATCACTTGTGTGTGTGGGTGGGTAAAGCACCATATTTTTGTTTTCTCTTTTCTCATGTGTATTATTTGGTACCAGCTCAGGTTCAGTGACATTGAGCTGATCTCCATCATTATGTACCCCAGTGTTTTTTTTAATGACCAAGTTAATAGTTTGAAGAGCTGAGAGGCATTGGCATGATGAGGTATTATAGTAAGATGGACCTATTATTTATTTTGATTATTATTTTTACTATTAATTATTAACATTATTAGACATTTCCTTAAGAGAGCCATTATGTTTTTTCAAAAAGTTATATTTTAGTCAACTCCATGTAAACTGTTCTCCACTTTTCCATTATCAATATTTGATGAATTTTTTTATTCAGATTTAATCTTAATTCAGTAAAAAGATTTGTTACATTCCTAACACAGTGCTATTTTTATTAAAATTAGATCCGATTCCTGTAAAAAAAGTGCTTTCTTCTCATATATTTTTTTTTTATAACCTTAGCTATAAAAAATTAGTACTTTAGGTTATAGTTTGTAAAAGAGTAACATGAAATTTCCCAAGGTTTATTTTTTGAACTTATTTCATCGTGATAATTCCAGTAGCGAATGAGCAATATATTTTATAGTCTACGGAGTAACCCTATATATTTTTCATGTTAAAGTCTGTTAGTGGTGGATTGATGGAAAGTGCATACCTTTTTTGAATAAAGCTCCAATTAAAATTCTCATTTTTCTTTCATTCTTATTGTTCACATAAAGATGCAGAGGTATGGTGACTTGCAGTGGCAGAACCATGAATTGGAAATGGGGGGGGGGGGTTTGCAGGGAGGAACTTTCACAGATGGAAGGTCTATAACCACCATGGTTGTGGCTGAGGAAAGAAAAATTTATGATTATGGCACCACTAGATGACCGGAAATGGCACCCTCAGACTTAGATTTTGAACATTTTAGGGGTGTGGGGGTGGGAGAGAGACAGGCTGGCTGGGGCATCACTGACTTCCGTTCTGTCTGTTTTCCACAAGACGTCCAGGTTCGTTTATCTTTATGAGCATCAGTGCTTGTGAGCCATGATGCAGCTTAACCAGGGGTGGTGTCAGGATTTGCTGAAATGTGGTGCCGATGTTCCTGGCGAGAGTAAAGTGGGCCTGGTCAGCGTCACTAAAAATCTTTCAATGTGGTTTTGGGAAAAATTCCCCCGAAAAATATGGCAATTTATGGATTTCAAAGGCTTATTTAATCAATTTTAGAGTCTATTAACATGTAGAAAATACATAGTTTTTTGCTCCTGGATGGTTTGGGGGTGGGGGGGAGAGAGTCTGTCTCTTATACACATCTAGATGTGTATAACTGGATGGTTTGGGGGGAGGGGGTGGTGATTTCCGCACAACCCCACCCCCAATGGTAATCCTGGATTGGCAGGGGCGGATCCAGTAAGGGGAACGGGGCGGGGGGCATGTGTCTCCTGAATGAACCTTTCCTGAGTGTGTAAATCAGACTGACCAATCAGAGGCTTGAAATATATATCATTCCATTTAGGGTCTTTCAACTGTCACAAAAATCACCACAGGGCCGGCGGAACGTTTTTCAAAGTGGGGCGGGGGCCCCACTTATAAGCAGGCACGTAACAGGGGTCTTGGGTTGGGGGTGAGGCGGGGCGGCAAAGGTAATAATTTTCCCGGTTAGTAATTTATGACTTGGTGGGATACCTCCACCCCCCATATAGAAAACAATATGACATAGGGCTTATTTTATTATTAATATAGGCCACACACGTGTGTTTGAAACTAAATATAAGCATTTTCATCGTGGTTTTATTTATTACAATCATAGGCCTATTCTTTCACCATCATTACACATTGAGGCCCTTCTTTTAGGTAAAACGATCTATCTTAAATTTTCTTTCTTGAGTTTGGGACTATTATGTTTTTAAATAACTTAGAAGGCAAAGGAGAGCAAGCACAAACTGTAACCCTAACAAAAATTTTTTTTGTGTTTTTAATTCTAATTTCGTCGGAATTGATCAAAACTCCCTAAATGTGCAATTTTTAGAGCAAATTGGCCTACCTCAACAAGAAATGCTCTTATGTTATATATGGCCACACTCGTTTTTTAAAAAACTGATTATAAGCATTTTCCTTATTGCTTTATTTATTACAAACATATTCTTTCAACATCATTACACATTGAGGCCCTTCTTTTAGGTAAAACGATCTATTTTAAATTTTCTTTCTTGAGTTTGGGACTAGGCCTATGTGTTATAGCTTAGAAGGCAAAGGAGAGCAAGCACAAGCTTTAACATTACAAAAATGCGCGCGAATCTTATGTTATATATGGCCACACTCGTTTTTTTAAACTGAATATAAGCATTTTCCTTATTGCTTTATTTATTACAAACATATTCTTTCAACATCATTCACATTGAGGCCCTTCTTTTAGGTAAAACGATCTATCTTAAATTTTCTTTCTTGAGTTTGGGACTATGTGTTATAACTTAGAAGGCAAAGGAGAGCAAGCACAAGCTTTAACATTAAAAAATGCGCGCAAAGCGCGCGAAAAATCTTTGTTTTTTTAAATTCTGATTTCGTCGGAATTGATCAAAACTCCCTAAAATGTGCAATTTTTAGGAAATTAGCCTACCTCAACAAAATATGCGATTTAAAATTTGAAATTTTCATGCACTTTCCCGGGTGAATAGGGCATTCAATGGGGAAAGATTTTCCACAGATGGATATTTTCCCCTTGTCCCCCGGTGGTTACGCCACTGCGGAGAATACCTGGCGGCTTAGATCAAATGCGATATGGACACTTTTTGAAGTGGAGAAGGGGTTGCAGGCAGGGGTATTGTGATATCTGTTCATTATATCTTCCTTTTTATTCTTGTCTTATTTTTCTCTTCTCTTTTTCTTTTCCTTTTTCCTTTCTTTTTCTTTCCCCTTCTTTCTCTTTCCCTCCCTCTCCACTCTTTCTTTTCTCTTCTTACCCAGCCCTGTACGACGGCTTGGCCAGCCCGGTAAAAACCGTCAGGAATGACAGTCTGCCCCTAATGACTTTGTTCTTCAAATTCAAGGTTTTCCTCATGAAAACGGTAAGGTAAACTTTCTCATTACAGTAAATAGGCCTGTTATGTGTGTATACATACATTAAAAAAAATTGAGTAGTTGCATACCATTTTTTCCATGAGATGAATGCCAGAAAGAAAGGAGAGTCCGGGGGTTCTTCCCCAGGAAAATTTTGATTCCTAGAAGGCGGGAAATGAGCTTTCCCGACTTCTGAGGTGTCTTTTAAATTAAAGTCATTAAAAAATACTTCAAAAGTCGGGAAATCTCATTGTCCACCATTTAGAAATCAACATTTTCCCAGGAAGAACTCGTACCTCCCTTTCTCTGGGTTCATTGATTCAATGGCCGGGGGAGGTCCTGTGGTTCTTCCCCAGGAAAATGTTGATTCCTAGATGGCGGGAAATGAGCTTTCCCGACTTCTGA